GGGCCGGCCCGGCTCGGCCCGGCGGCGCCGAGACTCTGTGTTCTGCTTCGTGCCCGCGCTGCTGGGCTTTCCCGCTTCCCAGAATTCTCGGCTAGCGCGACAAAGGGGCTTCGCCTTCGCTGTACGTTCGCTTCCTGTTGGTTGAAGATCCCTCAGAAGAGCAGAGGTGAAACGGGACCGCCACGTCCTGTGCTTTCATAGCAGGTCCCTGGAGAGGGCAAGAGCCTTCCCGGAGCGGGTTCATGTTGGGGCGGAGACAAGGAGGCCGAGAAAACAAGTCTTAAACATCTTTACCTGGAGTCCCAGGTAAAGATGTTTAAGACTTGATTTATTGTGAGGACGAATACTGTGGACTCGCACCAAAAGTCAGGTGTGTTCCGGAAGTGTCTGAGTCTCCAGGGGCACTCCAGAGGTCTTTACAGTTAAGTGCTATGACAAGTAATAAAATGACAGGAACTAGAACTACAGCACGTGTCCCCTTATAAACACGAGCCCTCCGGACTCAGAGGTCTGGTTTCCTCTGGGGATGAAAGCCAGTAATGTTCCAGTGCAATCCGTTGTTAAACACTTTCACGGCTGAAAGCTTTTCTGAAACATAGGGTTCGCTGAGCCCCATGCCAGCCAGAAAAGGACCAGGTCCTGGGGCGTGCAGGCTACGCCACCGCGGCAGTGCTGGAGAAGGCAACGTGATTGTGGCCCGGGGCTGGCAGGGCTCCTTTTACACATCAAGTAGGGCAAGAAAGATGCGAGTTGTTTCCGAAGAACTGACATTGGCTCTAAAGGGGGTGGGAGGTGAGGCGGGGACCATCCCAGGACAGGTGCAGAGCCCAAGCAAGAAGCACTGGCTCCTTTGGTGTGTTTGCGGGCAGCAGCCCCAGGGTTCTACCCAAGAAGGGGAAACAGGCACCAGGGAGTGAATGCCCCACTCTGACACACGCCGGGAAGGCAAGCAGTCTCGTGCTGCTTTTGCCCTGCCTTTGTTAACCGATTAACCCCTTTCTAGTCTCTTCCACCCTCTGGCCTGCTGTAATTAATTCATGACATCTCAGAATTTTCTCCTCATCGTTGTATTCATTCTTAAATTTCAGATTTAGACCTGTGATAATTCGGGCATAGAGCCAAAAGGCGATAATTGTGGGAAAAAATAAAACGGTGTGCTCTCTCAACTGCCTAAATTCTGTTGCTCGTAAGCCCCAAACCTTAGAATTAAGCATTCCTTCTTGTTTTATCTACTTGGTTCTGAACTGAGAAAAGGAACTTGATTTTTGCATGTATACAATGTACAGAGTGGCTGCTCCGTGCCAGACACTGGGCTGGGCGCCAAAAATGCCTTTCTACACAAGGGTCACGCCAACGAAAAGAAAGGCTATAATCTGTGTGGAACCAAAGAAATGGTTTTTGTTATTTTTTAATCTTTTGTCTTAAAACACTCAACGGTCAGCACCTCAAAATAAACTGTTAATGCTTTTACACCCAAAGCCTGAGAAAAATCCCATGTGCCACCCCCACGCCTCGGAAAGAATCAAGGACCCCAAGCAGTGATCCAGCTCGGGAAATAAAGGGGCGGCTGGGCTGCGGGGACTGCTCCGAAGCCGACAGCATCTTTGGTTTGGTATGAGATCTGCGCCCTCTGCATTCATACCTGACACACAGACAGGAGAATGTCAGTGTCGGACTCAGAACTTTTCTATCCAAGTCTTTCTGGGAAGAACACTCTCTAAGTAGCGAACCTTCTAAGTGCCATCAGGTCAGAAGAGTTTTAATTATTTTTTCTTATAAAGAAGGAGCTGTTCTTGGAGAGTGAGGAATTTGCATTATCAACCCATTACACACCTATCTGAAAAAAACATTCTGTAACTTTTTTGTTTTGTAAGCATCACAAACACTATAAGAATAAACGTTTGGCTTTTTTCCCCACTTTGAAAACAGTTCTTAGAACGTAAGGAAACTCATTTGAATTCTGAAAAGTAAACATCACTTTTTCCCTAAACACTTTAAAAGATACATTTCTAAAAACCCTGCCTTTACCCTCACGTGATGGCAGGGAGACAGCACTTTCGCACTTTCGAAAGGATGGGGACGGAGAAATCCGAAATCCTAGTTGAGAAAAACCTTAACTGTTATCTGAGGATCCTAAAACATCATACAGTCGAGCGCTTCCTAAACGCACACTAGAAGCTGGCGCAGGACCATTCTGCAGGAAGCCTGGCCCCTGAGCATCTTCCCGAGGGCTCCGGCCAGGAGGAGACTTGGAACTGCAGAAAGTGGTGACGTGGGGGGAAAGGGCGGGAGTCTTCAATTTTGCTTTCTTCCTGCTATGGGGAGGGGGGAGTTTTCCTCTTACCCTCTAGCCACTCCCTCCCCCGAACACAGATAGAAAATACAGGCTGGACTGCGTGCGCTTGAGCTGGTTGTTTCAGAGGCAGATGCTCTGGAGCCCAGGAAGGAGTGGGAGGGGCCGTCTGAGTGGGAGTGGCACCGCCACCTGAACAAGAATGGGACGGCGACAGGGCTGGTGCCCCACGCTGTGGCAGAGGTGGGTCCAGGCTGGCTGCAGGTCATCCGGGGGCGCTGGGAGGGCACTGGGGGTGAACAGCACAGGCCGGCTGCAGAACCCACTGCAACCAGAGCCTGGACGGGTGGCGGGCCGACCCTGATGAGCTGTGCACGGGGAGAAGGGACGCACCTGAGACCACCACGCGCTCCCAGTCTCCTCGGCCTGAGCTCCGGCCCCCCACACTGTTCGAGGCTAAAGCTCTCCCCAGCTGTGGCGAGTGGGGGCATAGAAACAGAAAAACAAAGAAACGAAGTGCTTCCCACCCGGCATCGTGGAAGAACTCATACAGCCCGAGTCAGGGTAACTGCTTAACAAAACTGCTTTAATTTGGAAAATGTCCAAGAAAATAAATTAATGAAACACTCTGGCCGCTTAGTTGGCAGATGAATCCTTACTAATTCTAAAGCCCTCTAACAGCACAAAACTCAACACTCAGTTGAAATAACACCATGTTGTTTCAAGATCGTGGAAAAAATGAACCCCAAGTCTATTTTATAAGCTTAAAGTCATGAGCACCCCTGGCTTTTGTTCTAGTATTTGCCACACTCGCATATGCGTTTTTAGAAGGTGGACCGAGCCTAATTCCTGAGAACACGATTTCCTGACTGAAGCCATTGTCACGGGGGTCCCCCGGGGCCCAAGGCCGCTGCACTCGGGGTGCTGCTCTCCGTCTCCTGACCCACAGAGGATGGGACTCCACTTTCTGAAGAAAGAAGATGTTGTTGGAACATCTGCTAACAACACAGGACCCTAAAATGCTCTGCTTCTCTCTGGGAGAGTTCCTAGGAGCAAAAGGTGTCTGAGGGGCCCTTCGGAACCCAGAGTTCTGGGGCTTGCTGAGGTGCTGCGGGGGGCTCTGCGCTCAGAGCCATCGACACTAACTCGGTATGCCTGCTCTGAGCGGTGGCGACAGACACAGGCTGCTGCCCGGTCACCCTGCAGAGCAGGGCCCCTGGGCCCCCAGACTCAGACCGTCACCAGCTGCACTTCTCGACCCTTGGCCCCGACACCTCCTGTAGCTGCCGCCTCATCACAGGCTCCCGTGGGCACTCACCTGCCTCTGACACCCACAGCCAAGCTCTGGACTCCAGTGGCATTCAGGGGCCTCTGGGATGGGACCAAGCCCCATTTGTTTCGTAGGTGACAAGCCAGCTACAGCCCCTGACATTTGTGTCCAGGAGAGCATGGAGGATGGAGCCTTCTGTCCCCCCAGACCCAGAAGGCAGCCTGGGGGACCTGCTCACCCTCCTTGGCACAGTCCACGCCTCTCACCTGACTTGTTGACTCGACACACCTCCTCCCAGGTGTAGTCAGCAAGGTTCACAGGCTGCGTCACCCAAGGGTCTGTCACCAGCTTCTCCAAAGTGGTGCGCTGCTCAGGCACAGGCTGCAGCAGCCCAGACATGAGGTTCATTAGATCTGGGGACGTAAAAGCCCACCCTGGGCATGGGGCCGAAAGACCGACAGTGGGCAGGGCTGGGGTCAAGTGGCACACATCTGCAAACCACGGTGCTGGTCCGCCCCCAGCGGCACCTCTGGGCAGGAGAGAGCCCTGGAACCCCCTTTTAACTAGCACCCCAGGGTTTCTGGTGCACAAGGCCCCCAGCTGTGCTTTGAGAAAGGCTGTGAGAGGTCTGTCACCTCTGACATGAACGCTTGAGTTTGAGATCCTGCCCCACACACTCGACATGCAGAGGTCCCTAAGCGCGGCCTGTTCTCGGAGGCTCTGGCTGTGCAGAGCCGTGAGTGACACAAGGCGCACATGACAGCAGAGGGGAGGGGGGCACCTGGCAGGAGACCCAGAATGGGTCCCCACAGGAAGGAAGCGCAAGTTCTGGGAAGAGGCCCACCCTGGAGTCTGGATTTGGGTCCCACTTCCTCTAACAACACGGGTGTTACCTCACTCAGGGTCGCTCTGAGCCTCCCTGTCCCAGAAGTGTCCTAAGAGCCTAGTGAGGGAGCACGTGGACCAGCCTTTGTGGGTGGGACAGCGTGCAGCAAGAGCTGCCGGGGCAGAGGACCCTGAGTGCCAGCAAGCCCTGCCAGTCCCCTCCTGGGCCGCCGTGGGCTGCCTATGACCCTCAAATGCACAGGCTGCAGCCCTAAGCGCTATGCGACGGTGACGGAAGGTGGGGCTTTGGGAGGGGACCATCATGGGCGATCAGATGAGGTCGTGAGGGCAGGCCTGTGACAGGATCAGCGCCCTCATACGAAGAGTCCAGAAAGCCGTCTCCCCACCTCCTTGGCACACGGAGATAGGAGGCGGCTCCACCAGGAACCGAGCCCGCCAGCACCTGGCCCGCGGCGCCCAGCCCTCAGGCTGTGGGAGTGAGCGACTGTCGCCCAAGCCCCGTTTGTGACGTCCGCCACGGGCGGCCGAGCCGACTGAGACACAGGCTTCTAACCCAAGCGAAGAATCCCAGGCACGGACGTGATGCGTGATGATCTCGTCACCTCCCAACTCACGACAGTAAGTGATGACTACGGAATCGCGAAACGTCGACATCGGGGGGGACCTCAGAACCCTGTGTCCCAGCGCCCTCGCGCTCCTCCAGCTGCAGGTCCCGAGCTGGCCCAGCCCAGACTCAGGACGTCCCTTCTCGGTGGAGCCCACGCCCGCCGCCCCACACTGGTCCTCCCTTCAGAGGCAAACCACCACCGTGGCCCTGAGGGGACCCCTAGGCTTGCTGGCATGGGAGCTGCGGGGGGCCAAGTCCCTCCATCCCCACAAGTGACAGTCACTGCCACGGCCAAGCTCACAGGCACTGAGGTGGTCTCAGGAGAGGGCCCCTGGGAGCTGAAGGGGGGCCCTCGTAAAGATGCAGTTACCGCGGTACTTTCAAGTCACATGCACGTCATCCTCAAGTTCAGATCAAAGTGGGAGGAACGGGCAGAAAAGAGGACGGTGGCCTCAGCACGGACAAAGGTCAGGGGACAGGGCGGGCAGAGCGGCCACCGCAGCCACGCTCACCTTCCGACACCGGGTACGGAGGGCTTATCGCCGCCTCCATGGTCTCCTCCAGCTCGCAGAAGGGGTTCTCCTCGAAAACCAGCGTGTACAGCGTGACTCCCAGCGACCACATTTCCAGCTCCGGCCCCTTGTAGCTGCCGCGGGAGAAGGAAGCATTCATGGCGGACCAGCCCCGCACGTGAGCCCCAGGCCCCAATCACCTGGGAGGGGCTCCCAGGGAGGCTTGCCATACTCCTGGTCACACTCTCAATGTCCAGCACGTCCGCCGCCGGCCAGATGCCACCATGCACCAGGAGGGAGAGGAGAAGCAGAGCTATGGTACTCAGGCAGCTGAGACACGAACTCAGGCAGCAGAATGCCAACCACGGGCAAGAAACAGTGCACATGGCACATGGGCACAGAGCACAGTGTCTCCCTGGGGGTGTTGGGGGGCTTCCTGGAGGAGGTGGAGAGAAGGCACAGCGGACAGAGTGCGAGGCACCAGGCCCCACTGGGATTCGGCTCACCAAGGCCACTGAGAGCCACAAGTGGTTTCAGAACAGGACAGTGGGCCCTTCGGAGAGATGGCCGAGGCGAAGGATGCTCAGGGCACAGGTGAGAATACTCAAGGACAAAGTAAGGCAACGGCATCAGGGACAGAGAAGAAAGTGACGAGAAGGTGTGGGGGGAGGGGCCCCGGGGGCTGCACCGGCTGGAGGAGCAAGCTCTGGGGAGAAGGCGCCAGGTGCACTGTTGTCACAGCCCCCTTCTGGCCACCGCGCACGGGGCACCTAAGAGGCACCGATGCTGCCAGGTACTCATCCGGTTGAAGCTGCTGCCAGCGGGGCGGGGCGGGCTGTCCCCACACACGTGCCCCTGTGCTGCTCGAGGCCGCTGGTCACGCGGCCTGGAGCTCGGGGAGTGGACTAGGAAGCAGCGGCACTTCACCAGATAGCAGATTTAGAAACGGTGGCCGAGAGAAACTGGTGCGTGAGAAGACGGCCCAGGACAGAGCCCGCTGCCATCCAGGGGCCACAGAGAGCCTAGGGACATCAGGAGGCAGAAAACCAGGAGACGGGAGGGCTCAGGGCAGCAGCATGGCCAGGAGTCATGAGGGCAGACCTCAGGGGAGAGATGAGGCCACATGAGCGAGAACGAGGGTATCAGATCCGCGTTTTGTTTTTGCATTGTTTCTGCTCTGGAGAAAGAGACTGCGAGCTTTGGAAGCTGAAGAGAAAAATTCAGCACAGGAGAACAGGGGTCAGCACGCTCTTTAAGGGCCCAAGACTTAGCATCTTAGGCTGTGGGCCACACAGCCTCTGTCACGGCCACTCCTCTCTGCCATGGCAGCACAGTGGCAGCCACAGACACGAGCGGGCCAATGTGTGTAGCTGTTTGCCAATAAAGCTTTATTTATAAACACCCGTGGTGAGCCAGATTTGCCACAGTTTGCCAAGTCCTGGTGTAGAAGGCCACAACAACGATGAGGGGGAAGCAGAGCCCTGAGGACAGGGTCCAGAGTCAGAGCTCAGAGCACCTTTGGCCACGGGGAGAGCAGGCGAGATGGAGGAGGGAGCTCAGGGGAGGGTGTCCACAGCCCAGCCAGCCGTGGAGGGAGCAGACCGGCGCAGGGCACCAGGAGAAGCGGGGAGCGTGGCCCCCTGGGGAGGGCAGGAGGTAATGAGCAGCACCCAGGGCTTCCCTGGCTTGGAGACTAAAATGCACATAAGTGCCACCGCCCCGTGTCCCTGTGGGAGCTTCACAGCCCAAACACAGGGGTAGGGTGAGGGCAGGCGAGCCACAGGCACATGTCATGGTCCCAAGGACACATAGTCCCTCTCCAACACTGATGACACGATGGCCACCACAGGACAGACAGCAGCCAATGGCACTCTGGGGCACTAGAGTGACCAAATTATATCTTAAAAAATCCTGCAGGGCTCTCCTTAGACCCCTCTCACTAACGCGCACCGTCCGGTGGCTCTGGGTGGCCATGGACATGACGGGGAGGGCTTCTCCAGCGCTCCCTCCACACTCGCCCGTGGACCAAAGCCCGGGCATAAGCTCACGGGGCCAGCCTGGCCTGTAGCGAGCTGGGGCAAGAGTGGGCAGCGACTCCACATTCCTGACTCTGAAATGAATCGGGACTTGAGCAGACACGGGGATCAGAGCCCCTGGTCACTTCTCACACCAGTGCTGATTTCTCTGAGCCTCAGGCCCGGCATGGAAACAGCAATGGCTACAAGCCAACACCCTAGACTCAGGGCGCTGGACTGAAGTCCGGCTCTAGCCAGGTGCGCCTGTCACAGGAGAACAAGACCGAAAGACGCAGGCACAGAGGGCGCAGTGCAGAGTGCTGCAGCAGCAGGCAGTGAGGGCCACGTAACGCTGTGACAGTCCTGACCACACCTCTCCTGTCGGGGCAGCTTCACTCCACCTGACTGACCGACATGCGTGCAGGTGGGACAGAGAAACGCCTGGTGTCCGGGTCTGACCTGACAGTCCACGTCACACGTGTAAAGACACTTTATATGCAGACAAGCAGGACACAGACCTGTTTGCACTCAAGCCCCAGCACACCGGAGCAGCGATGTCCCGAGTCCCGGGGCACAGGCCCCGCCCAGGGCAGCCTCAGCTCCCAGGCTTCCCCGCAAGGATGGCACTCGGCCACACTCCCGGGACCCGCCTCTCTCTCCCCCTGCAAGAGCGGGAGGCTGGGGCGGGCCAGGGACGGCTCCTGCAGCTGGGGGTGCTGGCCCCGCGGGTCAGTGCTGCTTCTATGGCTTGATTTCCTTGCTCTACGGATGGCCGGCCCAACAATATTTTACCGCGATAGATTATTATTCCTGTCATCGAAATAAGTCAACCCAACTAAAGAAGAATCCTCTTCACTTATTTGACGCGTCCCATCTTTTGGACCTCTTTTATCTTTTTCTTAACTTTGTTATATAAAACCGCAAACATAAAAGTTGAGAAAATAATAGACTGAACCCCTGAACCCGTCACCCTGCTCCCCCGACCAGTATCACTTTGCCCGCCTGCCGCTCACTTCATCCCTCCATGTCTTCGTCGCAGAGGCATGAACGGAAGCCATTTCCCACCTGAAACCCCCGGTGGCGGCCCCGCCCATACGTACGGGCTCCCCATGAGGACCTCGGGCGCGCAGTACTCAATGGTCCCGCAGAAGGTGTAGAACAGCCGGCCCTGCTCCAGGTAGGCCGCGGAGCCGAAGTCAATGAGCTTGATCGTGAAGTCCTCGGCGATGACGATGTTCTCGTCCTTGATGTCCCGGTGGATGATGCCCCTCGAGCGCAGGTACCCCACCGCCGACACCAGCTGAAATCGGGGCCACAGTGGTTTTTCGCAAAGCGATCCAAGGGAGACACGCAACTCGAACGAGGGTGGATGAGAACGAAGGGAAGAGCGACACGGAAGGAAAGGGCGCTGTCACTCACGGTGGAGGGCGACAGGAGGCCCGACCGACCCACCGGAGGCAGGCGGCTCCAGGCGGCCGTGCCCGCCATGGCCGGCACACGCGACGCCTGCGAGCCAGCAAGGTGAATGCGTGACTCTTTGAAAACCGCATTATCATCATCTGTGATGAGGACACAGCACAAGATCTGCCCTCTCGGCAAACCTGTAAGTCCCCCACTTCCCATCTCGCACGTGAATACGAAGCCTTAAGTCCTCGCTGTCTCTGCTACACGTGAAAACTTCCCGGCGGACACTCACTCGCCCCACGCCACCCACCACGACCACCTCGCAGGAAAGACACACAGGCCTGAGCAGAAGCTAGAGACACGTGGACCGCTTTACTGCGTGGGGGCTGGAGGTGGCCCTGCCTGGGAAAGCCTCGCATGGCGCCTTCGGTTCAGGGCTCGTGTGGCAGTTAGGAGCCATCTGCGACCTCCGACGTGAGGCTGAGTGCCCGCCGTGTCCCCCACAGTGTGCAGGACTCCCAGCGACACTGACTGACAGTCCTGCCCTCGGGACGGCTCCACCTCCGCAAGCCCAGTGACCTCGCCCGACTTGGAAGGGGAGCCCAGACCGCACGCCCGGCGGCGGATCAATAAAAGCAGGATTTCCGTTCCGTTTCCGTGGATGAGTAAACTTTCTCACCAGTCACGGTCTGGTCACCAACTGTACCAATCCACATAGTGACTCGTGGATGCAGTCAGTCACTTTGATTATCAGAGACAATTTTATATTTACAAATGAATATCTTTGAATCAGATGCAATAGTGAACAGAAGATTAATTAAGCCCAATTAATTAACTTAAAACTAATAAGTAAATGCATATTTACATATACATATATGCAAGTGTATATACGCCTGCACATTTATACCCACACACATATACGACATGCATGTGCACACACAGGTGCACACACATGCACGCATATACACACGTAGACATTCATACGCACGCATACGTGCACACACACAGATCAGGGTCCAGGCGGGAAACAAACCACACATTAACCTGAACGCGGAAAGTTTCATCAGGTTCATTAACTACAAAGGGCTCAAGAGAACCTGAACCTGGATAAAAAGCCACTCTCCCCACAGGTCCCCACGTGCCCCTGCTGCTGGGAGAGCTGGTCTCAGGCCCCAGACCCCGCCACCGAGCAGGCAAGACACTGAGCGCTGGTACCACGCACACACACGTGTCCAGGTGACGAAGCAGTTCTATAAAACTGAGTCCATGCTTACGTGTGACAGCGCTCGCCACACACACGGATTTACCAACGGGCTTTGGTGCTTCTTGCAAACCGCGACGTGCTGAGCACTGTGACTGCCTGTGTCAGCTGCCCCAGAATCGGTCAGGCAGCAGCCCCTCACAGGTGGCCCCACTGCTACCTCAGACACAAAGGTCTCGGAGGCCAATCTCTGCCATGAAGTTAAGCAAACGCCTGTATGATCCTCTGACACAGGAAGACAGAGGGACGGGACATCCTTTTTGCCAGAACAATGACGCCTGACAGTTCGGAGGCGGTGCTCAGAAGCTGGAAATCTAGTGCCTTCCGGGGGTTAGAGCTTGGAGGAAGAAATACCAACTTCAGAAAGTGCCGTGAGGTTGAGGTGACTTGCTCGCCTCTCCCTTCCAGGACATTCTTCTGCACGTGCGCCTCGGAAGTGCTGTCTGATGCCACACGCCCGGCGTCACCATGTCGGCACTAGGCGACCCTACGGCAGATGAGTGACGACTCCCTGGTGGTGGACAGGGCCCAGCCGAGCCCGCTGGCAGCTGTTGCCCATTTTGAGGCTGGCGTGGATAGTCCATGTGTGTAAGTCAAGCTGAGACATTACGGCCGCCTCCCACCCGCTCCGGGGCGGAATGTGGCCTTGGCCGTCCTCCCCGACCTCACTCTGCGCTTCGACCAAGCATTCTCACACTCTCTCTCCTACTCTATAGAATCCAAAACCGAAGACTAAGTCCATCTCTGAGGGGAACCGAGTGTGGGCCGCCCTCACCTGCCGGAAGATGTGGCTCGCCAGCGGCTCGTCCAGGCTGGGGTGGCGGTCGATGAACGCGAAGAGGTCCAGGCCAGAGCCGTGCTTCTCCATCACCAGCTGGAAGAACCCTTGGTTCTCAAACACGTCCAAGACCTGGGGAGAGACAGCGCTGGGTCTGGCCCTGCCGAGATGCCTGCAGACGCGCGTGGACGACGCCTCCGGGGAGCCGCCGGGGCCGCGAGACCAGAACCGCGCTCCACCTTGATGATGTTGGCGTGCTCCACGCTGGACAGAATCGCAATCTCTAACGTCACTTTTCCGAGTTTGGGATCCTCGACCCAGCAATCCTCCAAAACCTTCTCCTTCTTAATGAACTTCACCACCACCTAAGCGGGGAGCAGAGGGGAGACACGGCTGCAGACATTCCCCCAGGGCCATGGGACCTGCTGCCCATGATGGCTCGTGGCGGCAGAAGGAACCTCCACGCGCACCTGCCCGAATCCCGGGACGTGACGGAAGATGCTGATTAACAAGCCTCGCAGCAGGAGGACAGCGGCTGAGTGGCCGCGGCCTCTGGCGGAAAGAGGGGGCCATGCAGACCTCGGCGCAGGCACTCCCAGAACACCCTGCATCACCCCGATTTCTCAACAGAGGTCGGGACGTCCTGGCTGAGAAAATGACACAAGAGGCCTGAGAACTAGAAACTAAACGACCATCCTTCCCGTCAGTTCTGAGAACCAGTCGGGGCTCGGCGAGAGAGACGGACACAGAGGAATAGGAGGGAGGCGCCCTGAGCAGCTCGTGATGGCAGCCAGGAAGGGCAACGGCAAAAGGTGCCACTTGGAACGGAAATAAGCCCCGTAGGTCGCTGAATGGTCACCTTGTCTCTCAGCAGAATACCTGCAGCCAGGTGAGTGCCAGGCACGCGGCTGAAGGAGCGACACGGCGAGCAGTGGCCGCGGGCCAGGCCTGCTCTAACTTCAGTGAGACCCTGACAGAGATGACAGAAAACCCGCCCTCGGGAGCTCATCGTCTGCCAGGGAGAGAAAAGACCCCAAGCGCATCGTGGGCCTGGGAGAGTGAGCGCTGGGAAGGGAAGGGCCGCGGAGAGGAGCTCGGGGTGGGGGGGGTAGCAGAGGCAGCTGGGGCGAGGCTGTGAGACCAGAGGCAGCTGGGCGGCAGCAGAGCCCGGGAAAGAGGCGGGAAGGACACTTAAGATGTCTGCGGTGTCAAGTGTCTCTCCCAGCCTGATGGCTTGGATGCCAGCATGTGAGCGGTGACAAGTAGATAAATACTGAAGATCCTTCGAAGGGAGGGTCATCATGACTGGACAGGCCAGACGAGAGAGATTCAAGAGGAAGCAAGAAGATGAGCTTGCCACTTCCGGGGAGGGCGGCCGGGAGGTGGGGGACGAAGCTGTAGTCCAGCGGGTAAAGGGGAGGTGTCTGCTGCCTGGCCAGCTGCAGAGCGCAAGCAGACAGGAAGGAAGTCTCCCCGGGCCCCGGCACACCCCTCAGATGAGCGTCAGCGGAAAGCAGGGGCGAGAAAGAAGGGGGAGAATTAACAGAAGGACCTGATTCTCTTCAGATAAAGAAAGCTTCAAAGACTTGGATCAAAGTTTTATCAAGTCTCAAGCAAGAATAAAGAACATACACACAGAAATACATCCTGCTGAAGGATCCGATCCGATACTGATGGCAAAACTCCCCCAAACTGACCTGAGCGAGACCCCAGGGCTGTGCCATCCTGTGAGCTGTAGCTTAACTCTTAAAAGTCTATTTTCTTTTCTGCCGCTGTCCTTGATCATGGCCTAACAGTATGTAAAATGACACCTCTGTTTTCTGAAAGGCAAAAATACTCATGTGTTTCCTTTTACCCAAGAGAAGAACTTTGGGGCTTCCTTCTTCTTCCTTGGGGTCTAAAGGTCTAAAGAAACCCCTAGGGCCTATCGGATTCCTGATTCAAAACAAGAACGAGAAGATCCGACTCAGAGAAATTAAAGGTGACAACGGGAACTTAAGAATTAGACTGCATGGAAGCACGTGACGGCAGTAGCAGTTTGTGTTAACGCGGCCAAAGT